CAGAGCAAAGGCTACATAGTAGAGTGGACCTGGGGGAAGGGATTATAAAACAATAAGAGGACTTTTATTTTACTTTTCTAAGAGGGGAGTGCACTGGGGGTGAGGAGTGGGCGAGGAGAAAATGCAACAATGAATGAATAAATATCCAAAGTCTCTGTAAATTTTCATTGAAATTATTAATAAAAAACTAAAATATTGTCTATCCCCCCTTTTTTTCAGAGTTGATAAAGAAATTTGAAGGTAAGTTTCTTGTCTTTCTCCATTTAAAAAGCCTCACAAGATGGGAATATTTGAGATGAATGTCTTGGGACAATGTTGGCTCTGGGTTTTGTGAATGGACATTTCACTATATTAATTCCCCTCTATTCCTATTTTGTTTATTATTATGTTGTTGTTGTTATTAACCATGGAGTCAGATCCAATAGACATGGGGGGGGGGATTTTCCCTCCTCCTCCAGCAGAGACCCTGGTAGATTCAGACCATGCTACTTCAGGATTGCAGCACAGTTTCTTGCCACTTGACTACCATAGCTCCCTTGTATAGTGTTTTAATGAGAAAGGGCTGTTGGAGTTTTGTCAAAGGCCTTTTCTGCATCATTTAATAGGATCACGTTATTCTTGTGTCTTTCCTTTGTTAATGTGAAAAAAATTTTTTTCTTATGTTGAACCATCCTTGCCTATCAATTATGAATCCCACTTGCTTATAAGTAATTATTTTGTTTCTATATTCTGTTGAATTCTATTAGCTAAGATTTTGTTCAAGATTTTTGTGCCTTTGTTCATGAAGGACATTGGTCTCTAGTTTTCTATTTTGGTAGTTTACTTACCTAACTTTAGTAACAGAGATGTGTTTACTTCCTAGAATGAGTCTGGGAGTATTCCTTCTATTTATATTTCTTAAAATATTTTTTCCGTGAAATATTTTATGTAGAATTAGAGACAACGCTTCACTGAATGCTTGGAAAAATTACTGGTAAAGCCATCTGAGCTTTGCTTTTGTTGAAAGTTTGTTTTGGGTTTGTATTTTTTTTTATGACATGATTATCAATTTCTTTTTTTATTCTCATTCTGCTGCTGCTTTGTTCAGTTTCTTTCTAGTTTCCCGAACTTTCATTAAGAGTGGTGTATTGAAGTCTCCTACTACTGTTTTAATGTTAACTATTTCTGTCTACATGTCTATTAACATTTATGAAGTATATTTTTCCAACTCTATAATTTGGTGCAGATATATATTAAGGGTATACATTTTTGCTCTATTGATATTTTCTTTTCCCTTGTGCTGATTTTTCCCTAAAGTTTATTTTATCAGATATTGTCACTCTGGATTTTTATTTTTTGTTATTATTGTTGCCATTTGCTTGGTATATTTTTCCTATCCTTTGATTGTTAGTTTATCCTTGGCTTTGATTCTTAGATGTTTGTCATGTAGGCAGCATATTGATAGGTTTTACTTTTTTATCCAATCTGCTACTCTTTTTCTATTAATTAGCACATTTAGTCATTCACATTCAGTGTGATTATTGATAAGCTAGGTATTAGAGTGTGTGTGTGTGTGTGTGTGTGTGTGTGTGTGTGTGTGTGGTGTTTATTTTTATCCTTCCATTTTTCTGTGCTGCTCCAGTGTGGGGGACATATTTTAATACTACTTTAAAAAGTAGTCTTGTTTTCACAGATTCCTTCAGTTTTCACTTTCTCAGAATTTGTCCTAATTTGTCCATTACATTTGATGGAGAGTTTTTCTGGACCCAAGATTCTTGGCTAACAATTGTGTTGCTGTTGTTGTTGTTAGTGTTGTTATGTGTCCCTGAGTCACCTGTGACCCATAGAGACCTTATGTACAGCAGCTCTGAAGGCTTACCTGTCATAAGCCAGTCTCACTGATTCTGACACACCAACCTCCTTTAGCCATGTTACTGTATCAATCCAACTCATCCAAGGTTTTCAACTCCTGCGCTGTCCCTCCACCCTTCCAAGCAAGATATCCTTCTCCAAATATCTGTCCCTCCTGGCTATGTGCCCAATTATATTTGAAAGAGAATTATTCTGGGCCCAGGATTCTTGGTTGACAGTTGTTTTCTTTGAGAGTTGTTAATATTACATCAAATGATATTCATTCTCAGATGATTTCAGCTGATAAATTGGCGCTTAATCTTTTGGTTCGCCTTTGAAGATCACTCTTTGTTTTAATCAATCTGTGTTCAAAAGTCTCTCCCTATCTTTAATTTTTTATAATTCGACCATCATATGTATTTGGATGCTTTCCATTTGAAGTCTATCTGCTTTGGTATTCACTCAACTTCTTGAGTGTACATCTTCTCATTTTTCATGATGTCATTGTTGTTGTTATGTACTGCCAAGTCTCCTGTGACTTATAGTGTGACCCCATGTATAAAAGCCATAAACCCTGCTCTATCCTGTGCCAATCTCATTGTCTCTGACACACCTAT